ATTATATTTTTGTGTATCATTTACCAATTTTAACTATTTACTTACAACAATTAAATCAATGATTGAAGTCCCAAACATTATTTCATAGTATGAATAATTCATTTATAATAATTAAATTATTTTACTTAAAATAACAGAAAAGACAGTTACATGATATACATATTTCTTGCTCTCTGAAACAATAAACGAGCAAAAATTTTTATATGTCGCGCGATTATTTTAAAGAGACAATCACCACTTAATATAACTTTTGACTACATAACTTTTCTCTACATAAATTTCTATTTAATATACATAAATGCAGTTATAATTTAAAAATTAATATCACGAAAATCTAAACTCACTTTTAACCGATAAAAAATTAATAAAATATTACGTTTAACGTTGTAACATATTCATGAAAGTGCAATTTTGCGACAGACATGTAAAAACTATTAAATTATTGATTAGTATAATAGAAAAACTGTTTTACGAAATACTAAAAAAAATTATCAACTGTTCCGGATCACTGACGAGTGAAACATTAGATTAACCTTGAGAGATACGGAGATTCATCATTAATTGAATTTTGAAAAAGATATTTGAAAAAAAAGTTATCAACATTAGATTAACCTCGAGCGGCTTAGAGATCATTATCAATTAAACTTTCGACGTATACAAAAAGATAAAATTTTAGGAGTTTGAAAAAAAAGTTGTCAACTGTACCTGATCACTGATGACCGAAATATATAATCTTGAGTAGTACGGACACTCATTACCAAATGAACTTTCGTCGTGTGCACATCGGCCCAGCGGAGCACCGAGGATATCGTGGGATGCGTGTCTTAACTTTCAGTTGCGTGCGCCTTAGTTTTAAGTTGCGTGCGTCTTAGCTTTAAGTTGCGTGTGCTTAATTTTAGTTAATCGTAAGATGGTTGTAAATTCAATATTAGCACATTCTATAGAATGATACGGTTATTGCGAAACAATTTTTATTTTTTCTTTAAATATGTAAAATATTTTATATATTATAACTTAATTATAATTATTTTCAATTTGAACTTTGATTTGTATTTTAATATATTGTGCTTTGGTTTACTTTTCATCGGTTTTTTTCTTAAAACTCCTTTTGTCGTTCTG